TATTATTTATTTATTTAAAAGTTTGTAGCTCTGAAGCCTGTGCCATCAGTTGACTGAATTTGTTGACGGATTTGATCCAGGCGACTTCCGGGGGTTCTTCGATGAAAGACCATGTTGTGGCGCTGACTAGCTGGGCGAGTCGGTCGTAACTTGTGATGTTTCGCACAGTCGCATCATTATCATGCAGATATTCTGCATAGCAGACCAAGTTGAAACTGATGACTGCGTGCTTACTGCGACCCAACGGGCAGTCTTAAACCAACGCATCAATCAAATGCTCCTCGTTGGTAAACACAAGCTCCAGCATAGATGGTCTGTTACCAGTTCTGAACCGAATGGGCGCAGTGATGTGGTTGTAAAGAGGAACAGTAGTTACTAGATCTTGTAGATCGATTTTGAATTGTTCGCCGATCGTGGCAGGAGCTTCTAAACCATGTACGTTGAAATCACCCATGATAAGAATGTGAGTGTACTTTTGTTGTAAACTGCACCTTAAAGCAGCCGTTAGGCGGTAGTCGGTTTCGGGTATTGAGTTAGGGGCGCGGCACATCAAGACAATAAGCTAAGCGTCCCTGCCTTTTAACTGCAACTGGCATCAAAGAGATTCGGGGAATTGCGAGTCTGAATCCTTCGACTACACCAGCTACATTCAGTCGCGGTCGACTCCGAAAAAGCTAAAATACAACCAACTTAAAACTTTGGCGAAACCTGCCTGCGAATAAGTTCTAAGGCAATCAGTCAAGAGGCAACCCTGTCATTGTCACATCACTAGTCGTCAGTGCACAAGAGCGTGTTGGGTAGGTGGATAATTGAAATGATAAGGAACCGAAAACCACTGGCAAACTGAATGGCTATCCACGACCAATTTCTTAGGCCGTGGGAACAAGTACATGGAAAGCGGATGGTTAGTACGCTGCGACTCGTTTAAGGTAAGTAGTCTTTAATCTTTGTTTACTTGCCGGTTTCAGTGGCTCTGCACAGTCCCGAATTACTTTTAACCGCCTGCACCTGGAAATGGCTAGCCGAACAACCTCCTCGTGGTGCCAGCTGGGTGATTCGGGTTTACCCCCCTTCAGCAAATAGTTCGGCGGCAGTGTTCCAGGACGTGGTGGGTTTTCGCCTGGCAAGCGTTCTCCCTATAAAAAGCCACATATGTCCGTTTAACAACACTGTGACGTGGCGGTTGTGACTCGCCACCAACTAAAGTCACCCATTGCTTATCCGAACAATCTCTTCAAGTCCACAGATAGCAAGTACTGGCGACACCTTCAAACACATTCAAGCAAAATGACAGGAGACATTTACCAATCCCATAAACAAAGCTAAACGCGCCTTCATGCAAATTTACATACATTCATATATAAACATATGCAACAATCCCATTGTTCCATTGTACATTAACTGATCACATTTTTGTGCTCTTAACATGATCATGCCTGCGCAGGCGTGCCTCGCTTAGTCGAGAATACACAATTTATTTATTTATTTATGTATTTTAGGGTCCCTATCGATGTATAGGGCTAGTGGCGTCATTTGCCGGTAATTCAGGTAATTTCAGTAAGTCGCTTTCCAACCTTTAACCTTGAACGTAATCATTTGCCTAGTTGGTGCAAAATGCTTTCAGGCTTACTAGTTGAGTTATGTGTCCGCACATGACACTTAATGAAGTTTCCCGGGGATGGCATGTGCGTATAAGTCAGTTCTCCAGCTGAGGCGAGGATAGTTGTGCCAGATGACGTGGTGGTTAAAACGCACCCTTGATGAATGCGCCAGTTCGACGAGGCCACTCGTCGCACTCATTGACAAGACACGAGGTGCTGTTAAACTGGTGACATAAAATTAGTTGCAATGAAGGGCGAAGCATACCAAGTCCAATAAGGTATTGTAGGGTTAAAGACTGTACGCACCTCAAATTCAACAGGCTGAAGTTGCACCTGCTGCGGTTTATTGCAGCCACTTAGGAGCTGTTGTCTTGCCGCAGCATTTGTAGCTACGAAGTCGCTTGATGGAATACGTTATTCAAAGAGTGCAGCGCACTGCATACATGATCCAACAGAACTTTAGGCTGCCTACAGAGCAGTACTCGTACTGCGGAACAGCGTACGATTACTGAGTTGCTGGGAAATTCCGTTGTTATGTTAAGACAGTTGTGCGTAACGAATGAAGCGACCTCATTAATTCGAGTGGTGGGTACTGCTCCCGAGCCGTTCATGCATTCCGTCAATTTGTTTGTTGTCCAGGCACGCTCTTGCACCTTGGTAGCTTGCTGTGAATTCAGTGTTTTCGAGCCACGCACGAACCACCTCATTGTTCGTGGTAGCTCCCCAACGTGAACTAAATAAATAAATAAATAAATAAATGGTATATTCTCTGTAAAACGAGACACAACTAGGAATAATTGTCTAATGACTTCAAACATCGTACGTCATAGCACAAGTAGAACACTCCATGCTCTTTGCAAACCAGCTGTCGTTCACTTCACAAGGCAGCACTTCGCTCAACAGAGTTGCGAAATATATTCTAAACAAAAGTTTAATAATAATTCCATTATTACTTGCTGCAAAGGACATGTGAAACAATGGATAATTTAATAAAATCCTGCTATAAATTGTCCAATAAGTTACCCTAAAACAACGTGCCACAACTAGGGAAGATGACAAACTTCAGTTGCTTACCAGCGCGCGAACTCAGCGAAAGCCGACAGGGGAAGTCACTAGTCTGCTCTTTGGTACACATAGTGAGAAGGCCATGTAACTGGTTGTTAGTCTTATTAACCCGTACTTGGCCGCATTTCTACAGCTTTGTCAAACAATCAGTAACTCCGCTACATAACACAGGCATATAGTTCAGAGGAAAGCACGAGACCACGTCAATATCCAAAGGTTCAAATGGTGATTATCTGACATGATATGTCGGTCGACATGGCGAACGGAAAGCTTGATTTTCACTTAAGAGAGCATCCGGAGCAATGGAAAAGTTTATGTAGCCATCGATATCTTCCCCAGCATCATTTCGCGACGTGAAAATTTACAACTTATCCGTGGTAGTGCACTTTACACACGTGAAATACCCTGCGCGTGGTTTAACATGTCAGAAATGTTACCTTGCTGGCGGATCAGCAACAATCTACTAAGGCAACAGATGGGTTCTTTCATCTTCCGAGGATATGTGACACGCTTTGTGTAACGCATTGCCAAGTGATGGAAGGTATACTCCAGGAATTACTGTACAACACCCGGTTCGGTATATTCGCAGTACAGTCCTATGACGCACACCTCAGATATTTTATTGTAATCAAACATCTTACAATTGGCCGCACCTGCATTCCGTCTACGTGCAGTTGCAGCAGCAGTACGGCAGGTGGTTGTAAGACAGTATTGTATCCCGAAAAAGCAGCAGACCAGAGCAGCGTAGCGTATGTATGGAGGGAAGTACCCGCACACAAGCGCAGTACAATTAAATCGATAGAGGTTTGCATTGCATCCAATGAAATGCAAGTCCACTTGATAGGCCAACATGTGCTACATAGAAGTGTGAGAAGGATAAGCAAATCGAGAGCAAAAAGCAAAGCAGAATTTGAACACGACAGATATCTGTTCGCAAAACACCAGAAGTACCGTCAATCTGCCCAAGATATACGTATCGGCCACACAGTAAGTTGCGACGTGGGTAAAATCATGGGGCAAGCATCAGTGCATACGCATTCATTGGCATTTGATGATGAACGCGAAGTAGGGGCCACAACAAATGGTTTGACTGAGTAATGGACAGCTTAGCGTGTTGCAGGAAACCCCGAAATGTTTGCTCGGTGTTCAAAGGCTCTCATGGTTGTGGCAAGTCTGTTAAGATGGGATTGCACACTAAGAGTACCGCGACGTGCTGGGTTTTTGTCTGGCAAGTGCTTTTGCTATAAAAACTACATATGTCTGCATAACCACACTGTGATGTAACGAATATGACTCGCCAATAAATAAAGTAATTCTCGCATTCCATTTCGGAGGATCTTGTCCAATTCGCTGATGCCACTACCTTTATGATTCCACCTAATCCATACCTATATTGGCGAATTTGACGAACAAACAACTTCAAGGTGATTGTAAGAAATTCACTCCACATGATGAAATGCGCGCAAACCCATATAAATACTTCACATACTTGCACATATATATCCAGTGTGTACTGATTAATTTGCAACATCTCTGCGCCGTTACTGACTTTACGCGTTTGATTATCCTGATCATGGCTTTTAAGCAGCTTCTCGCCCCGACGAGAATAAAGCGCATATTAGTTTAGTTATGAAGTAGACAAACATCCTATGAGGAGGGTTTGGTGTCATTTGGTCTTTTTGCGTGTAAGCACGATTAATTAGCTTGTTGTGAGAGTTCCACAGCGCTTGGCTAATGTACGTGCACGCCAACATCATGAGGTTGTGCCAAATTTGAGCAATTACGCATAACTGGGTCCGAATTACTGAGTATCGAATTGGTACGCCGTCTCTGTAAGCTTTGAAGTTGGCTGACGATTTTAATTATTACGACGGAGTAATTTGCGTGCTCTTGTTATTCAAAAACCGGTGTGAGGTCCTATACAACATTAATGCATTATAACGAGTGGTAAAGCGCCGAGCGAATCGTCAATGGGTACGGAGCAAACTGCGATTAGTATATTACTACTGCATGAAGAACTAGTAAAGCATGTCAATCCAACTTTCATTGGTGACTGCGTATACATGTAATTGTTAATGTTGTCGGAAGAGTCCTTTTAAGGTACAAGTAGGCATAAGGTAATAAGTCGCCTAGCACTATTGGTAATGCTCCAAAGTCCGACTGCGTATATAGAGTCCTACATAGGTAGTAGGCCTTCGTTTATTGCAAGGTATGAAACATATTGGTTTGTACAAATAGGATTATTCTATTGTATACTATTAAAATGTTAATTTTCTAGCTGTGGACTGATGGGACGCAATCAGTGTGGTCCCAACAGAAGTTGAACTTGAATTTGACCTTAACCTTGTCGTTTCGCAGGTTCATTTCGATGCCGGGGCGACGTGGGCGACGACGTCCTCTACTACGAGACGATATTAGGTACCCGTCAGGTGATGATGACTGCAGCTCATGTGACGCGTAATTCTGCTTTTAATTTAATTTTGACAGTTACACTGTTCGAGGCAACCCGGACCCGCAGTGCACGTGGTGTAAAAGGGAACACTCTACTGTCCTACTTGCGCCATGTGGCCATCAGTTCTGTCGCGAGGTTTGTTATTTTGTTACATTTGTTTTGTTATTGCTTGTGCTTGTTGATGGTGCTATATCGTTGTCGTTTCTTGTTTTTAAAAGATAGCCATTCGTCGAGAACCATGTTATACTTTTGTGGCTGACTTAAAACCCTGCTGGCACAAGTGACCGAAACGCGTCCGAAATGTGTTCGAAGTTCGTCCGATAGGTGACCGAAAGGGGTTTGAAAAACCCCCGATCAATTTTGGTCACGTTTCGGTCACAGAAAAATGTCTGGCAGCACAACCCCTTCATCCTATAGCATTTTCAAACTTTCCCCATTTAACTGTTGCCGCCACATCCCCTATTTAACGCGCTTAATGACGCCACGACAAGTGATTTCACGCTTATACCTGACAAAGTCGCTGTTTTAGGGGATAACAATGATGCATGTAGCGGCTCTTGCAATCAAGTACAAGTGGGACTGGAACGATAAGATGAATCCCGTAAGTGTTCCTTCTTGAGCGGGTCGTCGATCCAGGAGTTGATAGGGGTGCTCCGTATCCCCTGACAGCACCGTTGGACGGTCAACTGTCCGATTTCCGTCTGTTTCCGGATTGTAATCCGTCGGTGGACAGCAAAATTTATTTGACAACCTTAACAGCTCTACGGAATGCTGTCCAAACTATCGAGATTACGACGAAATATGTAGCAAAAGGGTTTATGTGTATTAGTACTTTCTGCGAATATTTCTGTGTGCCCGATTTCCGTCCGAAATCGGAGTGAAATCAGTGTGTTGGAAATAAGGTCTTTAAAGTCGGAGAAAAATAAGTTCTGCATATAAAAAGACCACGCCCATGATTGCTTACCACATTGCCTTATTACTATTTCCTTCGGGTACCTTCTCCACATATTTCTTTCTTCAAAAGTGATGTTTTAAGGCACTGCAAAATGGTTCCGTAGAATCCCCTAATAGTAAATGCTACCTTAATAATCGCTAGGCGGCAGCACTCGATGAGAATAGGAATTGGGGATGGGTAGAAAACTGCACTAGAAAGTGCTGCCTATTTTTGTTTTGACTGTCCGGTTTCCGTACGTAATTTGTTCCGTCGTAGTTTTTCAGACAAAAATCGGTCAATTGGCAGACACTCGTGCTCTCAGGGTTGTTTTGTGACTTTCTCCGTGGTCACGTATCTATTCTCCGTCATGCAGTTACAGACGACCGAATGTCGAGGGTTTACTTGACATGTAGACCGTCTTCTACTGTTGATAAGGCCAGCTTGTTGTGCACTCGAATTCCTGCTTAAGGGAAGTCGTTTACAATTTGATCACAGGTAGTTTTCAAGTTAGAGTACCCAGGTAAGGCGCAAGAGTTGCTGTGTTTTCCAGGGACCGCTAAACGATATGCGTGAATTCGAACTACGGGTCATGCCTTGAGGTACAACGGATTTCGGGAGCTAAGAAAATATGGTGAATTAGTGAAAGAAAAAGGTGGAACGTTAGCTTTTAACAAGTCTAGATCACCAAAAAGCATCCTTTTATGCTATATTTGATTAAATGTAGAAGCTTGTAATTCTCGTAAAAATACAAATGTTATGCCAAGAAGGTGCTTTAATTTCGTTTTGAAACTGGAAAAATAATGCTTGTAAGGGGAGGAAAGCGTTTGACTGTTCCTTGATGCACTGTAACATGAAGTTACTGATGACAAGCGCATGTATGAGTGAGCATTTGTAGGCCTGTCGCTATGCGTATGTGCCATTAACCATGCTAATTAAAGTGGGAATGGAAATAGCTTACTATATATTGCATAAAAGACTAGAAATACGAATGGACATATCTAAATATGTGTGTATGTTTACGTTAGAAAAGCCTGTATGCTGGAATATAGATGGATATAAATATAATTATACTGTATATACATGTGTATACCATTATGTATATATGCATAATTGCAAATATAACATATATTAATGTATTGGCAAATGTCTTTATAAGTGCGTACTTCTCGGTGTATTTATTGCTAACTAAATTTAAGTATATCTATCTCTTCAAATTCGACATTTGAAAATTAATGGTGTAGTGCTCAAGCTAGACATACTACTGATCATGTGCTTGTACATCTTGCAATATGTTGAATAGCATAGCTGGATTGCACATTACATTAATATCATGATACAGTTATCATTAGAAGCCATTGCGATTTATAGGTGCCGTATATGCATGACTTGTATGAAACATATGCAATGGTATTGTGATCAAGGAGAAATTGAGAAGTTATGAAGAGGGATGAAAATAATTTCATACATGTATACCATGTATATACGCATTGCTACGTATTACTGTGTATTCATGCGAACGTGACAGATGCATAGTAAGGTCAAATAACTGGGTCATTGTGTCGCATTGTCGATAAGTTACCGGGCTCCATGGTTGGCGTTACTTGCCTCCATGAGCAGTGTATAAGAAGGTGCTATAAGTACCATAACCGTAGCGTCATCATCACCAATGAAACTGTTACGCATTTGAGGTTTTAACCATCGCAAATGCATGTTGCTTAATAACGCTGTTCATGTCCCATAGGGGACGTTATTATTGCCGGGATTGAAACCTATGACATCGGCTCCACGAGCATCCATGAACTGTGGTTACTTAACCCAATTGCGTCCTATGCAATGTGTCTTAATATTAACAATATTGGCAGCCCGCGTCTTTATGATCTGTTCTTAGTAATCTCTTATTGGGCTCATAGCATTGTTGTCATGCCAAGTAGCAAATGAAAATATATTGGCTCCATAGTGATTCTGCACAAGCGTTATCTGAGTCCATATACGTCGTAAATGACAGGAAAACCACAGAGAAAATATTATCTGCCAAAGTGAAATGCTTGCATACGTGACGCGGACGTATGAACCAAACCCGAATGATGACATCATCATGGGGAGCATTTGATGCGCTCCGGATCCACAACGCACGAGCACTGAGGGATGGTTGCTTTCAAATATTCTACGGAGACATATGGAAACAGTATGCATACATGAAACACGGTGGATTCTGAAAATCAAATCAAAAGTAAGGGAAGCGGTGCACATACAGTTAGTAATAGTAGACGTTTCCGGACACTAATATTCAATAGAGGGTTGTGCGGCAAGAGCAGTTGCTTCATGCAGGGAGGCATCAAGACTTCTGTTAGCCGTTACACAGGGCAACGGGTTGCTTGGGTGCATACACCCGGGTTCACGGTATGAAAGCGGGAGACCGTGTGCGGCGGTAATGTGACCATAGGAACTCATCTGTGCTGCACGAGATTATTGAAAATGTAGTGGTATCCATTTGTCACTAAGGGAACTGGTGTTGCACACTGCTTTGCGGACAGGCGGTAGATGTAATACATAGATATATCCGGTTACTGCGTTCATGTTAATAAGTTTGATGATTTTGCACAGCTGCAATAGATTATGCGACGTGGCAGTTGCCATGTATTAACGATCATTGTGACGGCAACAATGATACCTGATAACGTGCTAGCGGATAAGCAGCGGGATATATATGGTTCCAGATAGTGGGAAACCGGATGCAATAAAGGTTACGGACGTTTAAACCATTCAGAAATATTCGCCACTAGGTGAGTGAGCGTGTATATGACTCGGAACCTACCAAGGATGAACAGTGAGAAATGCTTTCGCCAGCCTCCTAAGGTGCCACTGTGACATCCCCGAATCAATGTAAATAGGACATGGGATAAAAGAGCGCGTTAGGCAGTATATAAATCTAATTTGGTTTAAATGGAACTGGTACATGCAAACATTTGGTATGTGGAAGACGCAAGGATGCTTAGACGCATGACATTCTGCGTTAGTCTGCAGGCGACATGCAGACTATCTGAGCAGACATGTAGGCGACGCGAATATGCGTGCGTTCTAAAAGCGACATGTGAACAGCCAGTGCACTTACGGGGGTGCAACGTAGTATATAGACGGTGGAAGATGTTACGTGGAGACAGACCAGTAGTGGCGGATCAGTTATCCATGCATCACGAATAGACAGGCGTTCTGAAAGCCATATGTTACGAGCCGATAAACTTACCATAAGTGCAACGGAGTCTTTAGGCGGCGGAAGATGTTACGTGCAGGCAGACCAGTAGTAGCGGATCACTCATGTAGGCATCACGGATAGACGTTCTAAAAGCCACATGTTATGAACCAACATAATTACCGGAGGTGCGACGGAGTATATAGGCGGCGGAAGATGTTACGTGGAGGCAGACCAGTAGTGGCGGATCACTCATGTAGGCATCACGGATAGACGTTCTAAAAGCCACTTGTTAAGAGCCGATAAACTTACCGTAGGTGCAACGGAGAATATAGGCGACGGCACTTGTTGCGTGAAGGCAGACCATTAGTGCCTGATTACTCATGTCGGCATCACGGATAGACTGGCGTTCTAAAAGCCATATGTGAACAGCCAATACACTTACCGCAGGAAGTAGACCAGTAGTGGCGGAGCAGTCATGTAGGCATCATGTTATGAGCCAGGGACCTTGGGGTATGCTGGGGAAGTGACGTTAGAGAAGAGCTGAATCAATACCGGTCGCGGAAGTGGCGCTTCTGTTGACGTGTAGGCTTCGGACTTCGAAATTGAAGTATCTTATTTACGTAATCTCACGACCGGGTGCACTGGTGACTGACAAAACGCGTCAAGTCTGCACTGCGTACCATTCTTGAGAAGGTGCGTAGTCGCATAAAGAAGGTGCGTCATATGAAACTCCTTATTTCGAAGTCGGGAACGCATGTAATCGGTTTGATGGAGACCTACTTTTTATCAAAATTTCTGTTTCTTAGGATGAACTTCCAGATTATCAGGTCTGTGGGTGTCCTCGCAGCATGCGGATATCTGTAAGTGCAGTGTTCCTCTATTCCAAATGCTACCTATAATCCATTGCTCTTAAAAAGGACAGGGACAACGACCTATGTCGTAGGTAATGTGCTGTCGCATTCACGATGGCCTGCCTTCGCTGCCGGTCACGGTAGTAGACGGACCCCC